CACCCCATGCGCACAGCCCAAGATATCTCCTCCTAACCACCCAAGAAGGGATTTAGTAAGAATTGAAGAAGCGCTGCTTCTTAGGTGTAAAATAAGCTGAGGTTTGCCACTCATCGTGCAAATTTTTATCCATGCACTACAGTACTACCTACAAGTAACATGACAACTTGTTCAACTATCAACTTACAACTTCATGCTTATTAATGAAGAATAATTTGTAAACATCCATGTTTTGATCATAGGCTGTGTCAAACCCTTTTCACCTTGGAAGAAAGAGTTGCTTCTCCTCATGCATTATTAGGCCTTGGCGTAGTCCAACTTCTCATTTTCATCTTGTTGTTTATATCATTGCTAGTTTGATGGATTTTATGGACACAACCTTTCTATACCATTTCTACTTTTTGGTTAGTTTGTACTTCTAGCCAATAAGTACTTCAAGGTAGATGGTTAGTTGTTSGTGTACTTCAGTTGTACTACATTTGTGTATATAGCTCTCAATGTGTGATCCATGAGATGATTGCAATTGAATAAAATTGCTCTTTCCTCTCTCACAAACTTCCTTCTCGTCTCTTGTTAAATCAAAAAATYTGTCATTTATGCCTTTTATGAGACTTGAAGCCACATCAGAGTTTCTATCAGGTTGAGTATGGTACGATCGAGCTAAAAAGCACGTGGTTCTCTCTCATTGTCTAAGAATTGCATTTCATTCRTACARGGAGCTCCTTGGAACTTGGTATATTTGACGCGATCATGCAAGTCTCTCTTATCTCCTTCATGCAATCTTTCCCGCATCTTGCGAGAAGGGAACAAAGTAGCAGATTCGCTGGCATCCTTTGCTCACGCTCAAACAGCATGTATGGGATGTTGATTCTGTTTGAGTTTCTAAGGCCCCTAATGGATGTATATTTTGGCCCTTAAAGCATGGTGCTTCAGTGATCTTTTAGGTACTAATTAAGAATTCTTTATTGAATATATCTCTWACTTTCTTTTTCTCTGTTAAAATACAAAACCTTCCCATCGAAACCTAGCAAAGCTGAGGGGACGTGGTGCACTACAATCACCCTTTTTCACTCTTAGAAATGACMTGTTGTTTTCAATAAAATGCCAATTRTTTCATGTCTACATAGTCTTTGGAGCTATTTATTAGTTCATTAATGTTGATAAACATCTTTTGATTTGTATGCTTCTTTTTCATTTTGATGGATGATGTTTCAACCATTGGTTTTAACATGCTGCATGCTGCTATTTCACTCTCATATTTCTTCATGTATGTTCGACAGATTATGTGGCTGGACAGTTTATACCTAAATCATATATTCTTCACATACTAAAAACAAGGATTATTGCTTTGGCAGTTTTTTTGTTTGGAAAGAATATTACTCTGTAGCACAATGAGCAACATGAATGAAACATTTGACAGAGATAAAACTAGTATAGTAATACAGTGATCATGATCTTCTCATAACTTTAAAAACAAATGTTCGTTTTCAATTTTTGATTATAAAGTACAATATGTGTATCTGCCAAGTTCATCACCATTGGTGCAGTCTGCTATCAACGAGAAATACCAGAAAAGCAGGAAAACAAAAAAAAGAATAGGAATAGCCCCAATGTGGGGGAAGACATTTAACCCTTATAAATTTGGACTACAAGAATGCTAGCTATTATGATTTTCAATTTGATGGAAATGATATCAACACACAGGTAAGTCTGGTGGTGGTTGCTCCAATTGCTGCAATGGTCCAACTCCATTGTCCACAAGAAACACTGTAGCCAAACCCCACCCAATATGAACGTCTAAGTGGCAGTGCATAATCCAGACACCTGAGTAAATATAGGAGAAATTTAGCATCATATGGAAATGTAAGCTTTTATTAACAGAGTCAGCGAATGCGAGTGCTTATCATTCTTTACCTGGATTATCTGCAACAAATCTAATGACTGCCCACCCTTTGACAGGCAAGCTAACTGTATTTCTGAGAGGTGGATCCACGAGGTTGAATTTAGCCGAGTCTGTTTTTGGGTTGAAGTTTCCAAATCCTTCTGCAAGTATATAGAAATCATATCCATGGAGATGGATTGGATGGTTCTCAGCAGTGAAGATATTTGTTCCTTGCAACACTATCTGCACCCTTGAGCCATATTTCAACCTGTAGACCTTTGTTCCAGGAGTAGGCTGCCACAATGACCGGCTCACATTACCTGTATAATCAAACTTCACTGGAGGTTTCGCTGGGAAGTCGGTGGTGAAAACTCCACGTACACCTTGGTGATGTGCTTGAAGCAAGGAGAAATTGGATGGGAGTACAAAAGATACGTTGTTCATGCTGGCTGTGAAGCGGGTCCCATTGGGTCCCTGACAGTTTCTGGCCCTGGTTTTTGGTGGGCATTGGTTGATTCCAAGACCCGCAGTGATGAAGAGATTTTCATCAATTTCAGTTGGAACAAAGACCTTTCTGGGGCTCCTAAAGCTGGTTGTGAAGGCAGTGGCGGTTGTGGTGTCATTATATGCTGGGAGACGTGGCATAATGGGCTTTGAAGTGGTGCACTTGGCTGTACAAGGGGCGGTCTTGTACTCCAAAATGGCGGTAGTGGTGGTGTTGTCAAACGGAGCACCTTGTGCGCTGGCATAAGCACGTGCAGCAATGTAGTATCTGGCCGGTGGCTGGTCAGCCTTGACGAGTACATCAGTGGTTTGACCTGGTCCAAGCATGAGGACCGAGGTGGTGAAGGGTTTTACGTAGGAAGCATCAGCTCCTACCACAGTAAGTTTGTGGTTTGCTATGGTGAAGAAAAGCTGTTGATTTAACGCTGCATTGATCACCCGAATGAGGTTTGTTTCTCCTGAATCAACTGGTACTATGACCGTATCTACATTGAAAAAAATAGAAGATAAAATTCCCTGAATCAAGTAAGAGGGTTGGGTTCCTGTGTGAATGAGAGTTATGGTGAGAAGGGTAAGAAGGGATCTCCACCCTTGATCCAATCCTAATTGTAAAGTTCCACAAGATCAACACTAATGAGAAGCGCCGGATCAATTCCCTTCCAAAGCGCATTCATGGGTTGTTTTGAAATTAAAAGTGATCAAGGGTCCATATCCCTTCTTAGTTCTTACACTTTTCATCTTAACTCTTATTCCCACACGATCTTTCATCTCATGTAAGAAGTGTAAAATTCCTTAAAATCTACATCATGCGACTGTTTTTCAAACATTATAGATTCACTTTGTGTGACAGTTTGGGAGAAAATGAAGGAGCCAATATGTTTCATAGAAGCAAACCTTTGCTGGAGCAGTTATAAAGATCACCGGGTTGACCATTGATGGTATATGCATCAGAAACATTTGGAGTTGCTCCTGTTCTTGTCGCTTCTCTTATAACATCTATTGGGTTTGCATCCCACCATTCACCTAATCATCAGCAGCATCTCATTATATCAGGTATCTCTATTTTAAATTTTGCAATACATTTTCAATGTGAATAAACTGTATACCAAGAGCAATGACCGAATCACGCTTTGGCTTAGGGAATGGGTAGGAAGATCCTTCTTTTGGGTGAATAATAATAGCACCATAGACGGTGGCTCTAAGCCATGAACTATGTGCATGCCACCAGAGGGTTCCTTCTTGTCCTGAAATCGTAAACCTGTAGGTGTAACTCCCTCCTGGTCTAATTGGACATTGCGTGATGAACTCTGGTCCATCTGCCCACGCTGTGGTCATTTGTCTGACACCATGCCTGAAAAGTCATCAACATTACCAAAGGGTCATTGGCCCAGCGGTACCATGTTACTGATAGAGCCCACCAGCCCAGCCTCCTAAGTGGTCAAGGGTTTCACCAAATATGAGGGGTGTGCATGAGTGTTTGCCGTATATAATTATTATATACTTGAAAAAAGTCGCATTGCCGTATATAATTATTATATACTTAAAAAAAGTCGCATACGTAAATAAATCATACTAGTCAGAATGACCCATTGGAGTAGGGGTCACGTCTGTGTACATCCCAACCCTGGATACTACTTTCTTATGGGATATATTGGGTTCGTTTAGATGACCCATAATCTGCTGATAAAGCCATTGTCAAAGATTATATTACCTTCTTGCCAATCTAAAAGTACTAACTGACTATATATATATATATACATAAATGAGGATATGCATATGGATATACCAGTGAATGGTGACGTTATATCTAGCTTTGTTGATGACATGTATCACCAAAGTGTCGCCATTGTTCACTTCCAAAGTCGGACCTGGGAACTGGCCATTGACCGTAATAGAATTGTGGGTTTTGCACAGCCTCTTAACTTTTGTTGCTTGAACCTAAACCCATATGAAATAGTTCGCATTATCAAAATTTGAAACAAAATAAAACCCACCAAAAGCATATATATAGAGATAAATTCAAGAAGAAGTCATACGACGAAGTCATGGTAGTGAGTCTTTGCATTTGGGAAAGAGGACACACTTGAAAAGAGAACCAACAAGCCCAGTAGAAACAATGCAATGGTGCTGAACAGACGGTCCATGGTCAACGAGTAGGGTTTTGTGGGCTAGTTGAGTTGTGGAATTATGAGAAACAAGAGGTTCTTATATAGAGAAGAAGATAAAGGAAGTTGTTTTGAGGTAGGCAAAGTAGGTTGGTTATGTTTCATGGGTGATGGTTAAAGCAAACACAGTTCAAACCAAGTTGGTGCACCCACTAACCTACATCACAATGTGATTTAATGTTCATCAACGCTTGCTTCACAAGTGTACTTATCTATATCAACAGATTTAGCATCATGATTTTCTTAACAAGTTGTCTCATTTGTAAAGGAGTAAAAATGTTGGTTGGATTGATGTTTAATTAAAATGTTAATATTTTGGATAAAAAACTAATAGTTTATTTATATATCAAGTAAGCTGGTGAAATTGTTTTTGTTTTTGTTTTGTTTGAAAAGTAATTATTCACCTTAAGACTATAAAGAGTGACGTAATTATAGTTTTGAACATCCCCAACAAAGGGTAATAATCAGAACATAAGTAATTGATGGGTTAAAGTCAAGGTCAATATTATTTTAATAAACTATTTCCTCCCAAAATCTCTATATAAATATAATCATTAAAAATTTATTTTAAAATTTACTTTTCAATTTTAAACATGTTATTAGTTTTTCAAGCAACCTCAATTATATATAGACACATAACCATCTATGGATGAGAATTAAGATAAAAAAGATTAGGTATTAAAAAGCATTATGTTTATTTATTACTCCTTGTGTTTTATTAAAATAGGTGTTTTCTTTTCTATTTTAATTTTTTTTAAATAAGTGTTTACTAATTTTCAACTTTGATTTAAATTATGAGACAAAAAAATCTTTTTATTATTAAGAGTAAGATTGTCACTTCGGTTATAAAAAAAGCGTAATAGATCACTTATCTTTTTTTTATTATGATTATTTGTTTTGGGAAGGAAAAAGCATTTAATTAGAAATAGAAAAATAAAGTCAAGGTTTAGGTGAGACGGTAGATTTGGTGTTTAACAATAAAGCTAGTTAGTTAGTGATGACAAAGATGGTTTCATGATGATGTTTTCTCTCCCTTGTTTGGTGGGTTGTCCGTATCCTTTTGGTTTCAACCCCAAATAACCAACTATTACTATTACTATTACTTCTAACCAAAAGTTTGGCATGGACCTTTTCATGTTTTTAATCCTCAAATTATATATATATATATATATATATATATATATATATATATAATATCATTTCAAATAGTATATAAACATTCAACTTTAGAAGAAATTTGTTGTATGTCATGGTATTTTTCTTAATGTTTAGTAATTGATAATTTATGGTCACTTATCGAGTGAGCATGACAAGGACTAAGGAGCCGTTTATAAACGCTTATCCGATAAGGTAAATGAGGGTGGTGACTATCGACAAAACGTTTGATAAACGACCCCTTAAATCCAATCTTTGTTTGAAAACATGTGTTTATTTTGGAGCGGAGAAAATAAAACAGTTTTTATTACGGTAGTCAACTTGTCATTTGCAGCATATTTTATTAACATGGTTTTTTTTTTAATATAAAAGTTGAAAAACTGAATTTTATACTTGTTTGAGTTTTGTTAATACTTCTAATCTTTATATGAGTTAAGATCTGACACCGATTTAAGTGAAATCTAGTAGTCAAAAGAGAACTATTGCAAAATTGATTCAATGCTTAATATTGATTACACTGGTGTTTGTGTTGATGATGACATCTCACTTCTAATAATTTATGTTATTATATTTAAATCTTGATGCAAATGAGAATGATCACTACTTAAAATCCATTGGGTTTAATTGGGTCAAGTTTGATCCAATCATTTATTGGATGTTGGATTTTGTCATTTGATCCGATCTGATAAATATTCGACAACTATTCCAATTTATGTAACTGGTGATTGGATCAGATGGTTCCATTCATTGAAGTGGACCTATTAGTGTTTTATTGAATTCTATATTGTCATCCAATTACTTACTAATCCAATTTGATAGTTGAAATTTTRGATCTGTCGAATCTTATTACATTTGGATATCCAATTATAATCGTTCGATTTCAATTGGATCGGTCAGTCATCATTGTTTGATCAACCAAAGTCGGGTATCACATGATTATCACAGTTATATCACACTGGTAAGTGTTCGGTTTTTGTATGTTAGTGATTGGGTCTTCATTCTTTTATCAATTTCTGCTCGAGCATGACCAATTTGTGTAACCTAATTGGTCGAAAAATATGGACTGTTATCACAGTCCGAACAACAAAAGTTGTTTATCACATCATTATCGCATTTAACTCCCCCACTAATTGACAATCACATTGCCATCATAGTTAAAAACTCGAATCAAACAAGACATTAACACATCGGTTAGGGGAAGATGACTGGATTTCACATTATTATCACAATGCTATCATATCTGCATTATCACAGTTGTCATATTTGGATGCCTATAAATTGTGATGACTTTGTGATTCACAACAAATATATATTCCATTTTGGCCTAGTCGAAGAGTATTAGTTGGGATAACATAAACAATCAAAATCTTAATCTTGCTATCACAAGTAAGACATCAATTAGGGGAAGATGATTGGCTACTACATTGATATCACAGTAACACATTAGCAAGGGGAAGATTATCACACGCTTATCACAATGTGTCATCTCGTATCACTGGTTTATTGAATAATTGTGAGTCACATATTTATCACATCATAATAGACCATCACTATTTATCACAAGATCAAATATGTAGACACAAAATATCACAAGATCGAATACGTAGATACAAAATATCACAAGATGGAATGCATATACAGAAAAATGATAATATCACAAGATCGGAAAAGGAATTTAAAAGTTGTGAATATCACAAGATCGAATATGCATATACACAAAACGATGGGGACGTGAGATTTTACGTGATCAAATTCCAGTCTAAAATCATAGGATAATTACAATTAATTAAATATCATGAAAATTATTAAAAAAAATACCTAATTACATTAATATCCTTATTGATTTATTTTATTTATTATAATTTAAATAATTGGTTAAAAAGGTTAGAGGCCCACAACTGTTTTCGTATTTGTGCAAAACAGAGGGGTTATTGTTTGAACTCCCGCCTAAAGTCTAAACTCAAACAACTACAAATCGATAAAATAATGGAAGACCCAATCACTAACATAAAAGAAAAACGAACACTTACCAATGTGTGATAATCATGTGTTACCTAACTTTGGTTGATCGAACAATGATAACAAATCGAGCCCTAACCAATTAAGTTACATGAATTGATTATCATCAAGCAGAAATCGATAAAAGAATGGACGACCCACTAGCTAACATATAAAAATCGAACATTAACCAATATGTGATAATCATGTGATAACCGACCTTGGTTGACCGAACTGTGATAACAAATTGAGCCATAAATAATTACATTACACAATTAGTGATAACCAATCTGTGATAACCTTGGTTGCGATTCTATGATAGCCATCGTATCTCATAACCTCTATTATTTTGTGATAGAAAACATCACTTTTGGATTGGAGACTATTCTCACGTTCTTATATATATATATATATATATATATATATATATATATATATACATATATATATATATATACATATATACATATATATATACATATATATACATATATATATACATATATATACATATATATATACATATATATATGCGAAGGGGATCATGTGAGAAGGGAAGTTATGGTGAAAAGTGTAAGAAGAGATCTGAACTTTTGATCACTTTTAATCTCATATCCATCCATGAATTGTGTTTTAGAAGGGAATTGATCGGTGCATCATGGTGCACTTCATTAGTGTTGACATTTAATTAGGATTGATCAAAGGGTGAAGATCTCTTCTTACGCTTTCATCATAATTTTACTTCTCATGGGAACCCAACCCTATATATGTATGTGTATATATATACACACACCCTTGGATGCACATTAGGATGAGATACACCAAGATGCACCAGATCAATCTCTGTATCAAGCGCGAATCATGAGTGAGTTTAAGATTAAAGGTGATCAAGGCTCCAGATCCCTTCTTACGCTTTTCACTTTAACTTTTCTTCTCACATCATACTTTGTCTATATGTGTGTATACAAGAGTTCAACGTACACATAAAAAAACTTAAAATCAATAAATTAATGCTAGAGTCCACTTAAAGTGTGACATTTACGCTGTGAACAACAAATATTCCAATTAATCATTTTGTTAATGAACAATCAAAAACACAATTGGTTTCTTTTTTATTTTTGTATATATCAACCGTTTATATTTAATAGATAATATCTGCATATCAAACCATTGGTAATGAGTAAAGTTGATGCAACATCATGCATCAAGATTTTATTTTATTGTATAAACCATTTGAGCATGTTATATTGTAAACAGGCATGCTCAAGAAAGAAAAAAGAAGTAATGATTGATCAAAGGGACCAACAAAAAGCAATGTCCATCATATTATTGAGTACCTTAATTTTCTCAAGTGAAGCTTTTTTATCCTAGGTTAAAACTGTATTGGAATGTATGGTGACATTTCCACCTTGACGTTGTTTATTAGAGATTTACTTATCAGAGACATTATATTTATTTACCTTATTGCATAATATTCTCGATCATCAAAATGAATTGTTAGTAAGTATTTATCGGGTAAGAGTCTTTTTTTCTCACTAGATAATACTCTCGGTTCTTGCTATGCTTCATACTAGGTAAGATTCAAGGTTCTTGCGACATTCAACTGGTAAGGTAAATGATATCAATAAAAGCTTACTCGATAAGTGTTTAGTAAACAACCCCTTTATTGCAACTTGTAATCTTGGCCCATGGTTTTGAAACATGTCATGTTTATTGGGGGTTACTTGTTATGTATGTCCATATCTTTTTTGTGCATTGAAGGTACAAAGATTCACTTAAGATGTTACAGACTATTGGTTAGATCTTGACTTTGAAAACATGTGAGT